ATTATTATTATTATTATTATTATTATTATTATTAGTTACATATTATATAGGCACATACTGCAGATGGTGTTTAGGGAAAGTACAAATACTGGAAGATGCACACTCCTCATTGGAAGATGCACTCTCAACATTGCAGTGCAGTATCTAAGAAAAAGCAAGAAATACACAGACTTCAAAGACTGCGAAAGAAGAGTCTGTTGACTGGAAATGTCAAAGTTCAAAACGTTGGACTGGTTAGCTGAGAGTACAGCTAAGAGTGGTGTTGCTTAGGGCAAAATAGGGCAATCGTGGCATTGTTTAGCCTATTATTTATTCTTCAAGACAAGTTGAACCAAAGAAGTGCAAAGCAGATTAGATTACAGGTCAGACCAGTGACCATAAAACTGTAAATGGATTCCTCTTACCACACCTACAAACATGCCAGAACTAATGACTTCCTGGCAACCAAAATCAAAGCATTTATCAAAGATCCCTCAGTTGCCTTCTGTGGCACCGGTTTATAATCTTGCAGGATCATTATCAAGGTTATTATTTGGACTCCTGGTAGTGCTAACAAAGGTGTGTGAAGCCTGGATTTGAAAAGGTCACTTATTTCCAACAAAGATTTTACTTGTGGCTAGAATGTACACATACAATGTGCAGAAGAAGTGAAGAGACTGGAATTCAAACTTAAAAAGTAAAGCTGCTTCGGTATCAGCATGTATCTAATCTTCTACTATCTTATATTCTCTTGCAGCTTTATGTGGTGTTGGTGTGGTGGTTAGGGCTGCCAAGTTACAGATGCAGGTCTCCAAGTTAAATTCTTGTCTGGGGCACAGTCTGTGTAGAGTTTGCATGTTGCCTTAGAGTTCATGGGGGTATAATATGGATTTCCACTACACCTCAAAAACATGATGGTAGGTTAATTGCCTGTACTAAACAGCCCGTGAGGTACAGGAATGGGCTGTTTTGTACTTTCTCATTAATCTGTCTTGTTCATTATTTTGATATTCTTTCTTTAAAGAATGCCTTTCCGAGTTCATAGAGGAGGTTTTGATGCCCTCTTCAAACAGACTTCCAGTGCTTTCCGTGTACTTAACACCGGGTTTGTGTATTATGGTCATAAAAAAAGAACATCTCCCACATCACCTGCAATTCTAGAAGCACCGTGGCAACAAGCAGCATGACTCACTGTGAAAGTATTCATTGTTAACTCAGTTTTTCATCCAAGACACTTTTATGCTTTGTCACATTAAACAAAAGTGTTCTATACCATTCATAGCCACTCTATTATATCAAATTAAATCAACATCACTCCTAAAGATTAAATCTTCATACAATATTGACAATATGTGAAGGTAGGATATTTCTGAATCCTTAAAATAACATCGTACTATCCATGAGTTATGTTGATTAAAAAACTATATGGAAAATCGAAATGGTTTATATTCTACCTTTGTTCCAGGTCTTCAGTTTTTGTTCAGCTCTTTTTGGCTCCTAAAAGACTTTTATTTTTTCCAAACAATAAAAATATTTATTGTTGTCTTGTCTCTGGTATGACCTGTGGATAGTATTTTTATTTCTACGATTAAAATAAATCAAAACCCCAGAAGATATGCTCATTTTGCTGTAACTAAACACCTTTCCTTCAGTTGTCAAAACTGTGAAAGCAGAAACAGTCCGCAAGTGTGGCAAAAATTAGTTCAGCACACACAGTGTCTAAATATAAATGGGTTCTGTTCTGGATGCGAGGTGCTATCTGCATGGTTTGTATATTTCCCCATGTTTGCCTGGGTTTCCTTCCACAGACCAAAGACAGACTTGCAGGTTATTTGGCTTCTGGGAAAAGTGGCAGTGATCCAAGTCTGAGCCCTTTGATGGACTGGTGTCCCAGCCAGGGTGTTGTCCTGTCTTGTTCCCACAGCTTGCTGGGACAGGCTTTGACTCCCTTGAGACCCTAAGTTGGATGAAGCACTTAGAAATGGATGGACAATAGAATTAATTTATATATAATTTATCTTGTGTGACATCTGAGGCTTGGAGTGGTGCAGCAAGTGATCTATCTGTTGATCTGGGTCTCGGGGAAATCACAAACGCAGCCATAAGGTACAAAACAAGTGCACTTCATATACAGTGAGGGAACTAATGCACAACAAAAGCCTAGCTCTACTTTAAGCTGCCAACTATATTTATTCAGGATCCCTCAGTGTACGCACTGGGCAGCTAAGCTGCTTACAACCTTCACAAAAAAAACTTTTGAAAATTCAGTCTCCCCTTCCCAAAAAACACTCATGTCCCTCAGTCCCAGCTCCATAAAGGAGCCCTCACAGAGCCCTCTCTTCTTCAGGAAGCCCCAGCTTACTAGTTTTAAACGATTACCTGACGAATTGTCTTTAAGAAACTGGTCAGGTGACTGAGGGTGACAAAACATTCCATACAGATTCCTGGGGAATGTAGTTCAGGCCAGAGCTGCCATCTTTCCTGATTCTGCCATCTTCACGGCTGCCTACATAATCCTAAAATGATTATACTATATTCACAATAACATTGAAAACAGAAAAGTTTGCAAAAAAACAAGAGGGTTCCCTTCATTCTCACCTAACAAAAACAACGGAACCTTGCAGAACAATATAGTCTCTGGAGATTTCCTGGTTCTTTCGGATATAAAAGGAGGTAACACAGAGAAGACATTCAGTTGTTGCAGGCATCATGATGGTTAAGGTCAGAAAAGTAGTGGAAGACTGCAGGCCATTCACCTCATCAAGATGAGGCCTGACTATAAAAGACAAGCAGAATGCACAACATGTAGAATCTCCCCCTTTCCACTGTAAACATATCATAGTTATGATATGATTATCATGATTATAGTGTCCACTGTTAGGAAAATTAAAGCTACCTGTATAATGCTAATCCTGCCAGGAGAAGGACTCAAGGGTATCTTGATCCCTTCTGTTTGACATAAGGGGTTCAGGAGGCAAGCCTACCAAAGGCAAAGACTTAAGATCTCCGAAACAAAAGGGCGTTTTCAGGATAAAGTCTCAAAAAGTACTGATGACTTTCACCTGTTTGAATGTGTCTGTAATCAGGTTGCAAGGAATCAGCATCAGAGGATGAAGTAGAAAAAGAGGAGAAGTTTCCAAACTACATCTGAATGACCACAATGTATTATGGTCAAATGAATACAAAAATTGAGTTTTTGCACATTGTTAGGGTTATGTTTGGTGTAAAAGAGGTGAAACTTGTGAGGAAATACTACTGCCCTCCGAGAAATATGGCAGGGAGTCTATTATGTCTTGGGATTGGATCCAAGTTCTGGAGACCTTGTTATGATAGGAGGAATCAACAACCACACCTAAATATTTTGGCCAAACACCTATTAAATTTCCTTGGCAAAACATCTACAGCATAGCATAGCTTCAGGACATCCTGTGCAATATGATATAACTGCACTTTCTGAAATCTTTTGATAAAGCGCTACTTGAAACATTAATCCTGAGGCAGAAAGTTGCTAAAATTCAAGGAAGTATTTGCATTTGGCGAAGAGCTGCTCAAACTGCAGAAAACAGATTATTAACTCAGTCAAGTTATTAGTGAGGTACCACAGGGACCAGTGTTAGGACCACTGCTCTTGCTTACTTATATGAATGATATAGACCTCAAGTTTAGTCCTTCAAATTTACAAATAATAATTTCATAAAATAATAAAACAGATGAAGCTACAAAAATGTTTTTTTACAAAATGTTTTTGCAAAGAGCGTTTTAACAATCTAACATGAGAGCTTGTAATGATAAAAGATGGCTATTATTATTTCCCCCATTGTGCCAGTAGCTCTGCAAAAGTCAATGCATTCTTTCATAAAGTGTCTGTGATCTTCAAATATATTGTAAATGAAACTTGAATACAGAATAAATAATAGGCAGAAATTTCAAAACACCATCAAAGTAAAAATTACACTTACCCCATACTGTATGTCATTTTAACACTTTAGCTACTGCTTGTTATATGCCATCTACTTTACATCTGGATAAATAATAGTGAGTTTGTATTCATTCTGCCAATGAAAGATAAAGATCTTCATCTGAAAAATCATTGAAGAGTTATTAAGTCCTCTCCTCAATTTGACACTATATAGCTTTAGCTTTATTAGGATTATAGTTAATTAATACAGCTCTTGGCAATTGGATCAACATTGCTTGTTTCTTATGCCTACAGAGTAACAAAGGATGGCTATTATTTTTCTGCACTAAACACAATCTCGGCTCATTATGCCATTATAAACCCACATGTAGCTACAGCTGGTGGCAGCTCCACTACTGCATGAATAAAGTCTGATGAAAAGCCACTTTTCAAAAGAACCTACAAAAACATCTCCTATAGTCTTCGTGAGAAAACGTAAGAGAGTTATACTTCTTTGAGTTCATCGCTTTCATTTAACAATAAATGGAGAGAACACATAAAATGAAGTAGCATGTTTTTAACTTTTTACATAAAGATTTTGTTTAAACCACTGTACGATATAAGCATGCAAGACCCAGTCAGTCAGCTAAGCCTTACTGTGTTTGACATGCTTTTATCATGTATGCATGGGGCAAATTCACAATTAAGTAATGAAAAGTAAGAAGAAAAACATTTCAGGCTTTTTCAGGTGTGTCCATAACCAAAAACACAGATTTTTTCTTATTATTTTGCAGACTGGAATTAACATCCAAAATGATGCATTTCAACCTGCACACTGCTGCACACCCTTTCTAACTGCTATGAAAACAGTTCGTACTTGGAATATGTACCTTTTGAACAGATTCACTGTTAAGAAAGCTCAAATTGAGAATACTGCTTGATCCTTTCAGCAGTAACGCAAAACATAAAGCCATTCTTAAAGAATTGCACATGAACATTTTTTCTTCTTAACTATTTATAATATTACACAAATTAAACACAGCTGGAAGTGAATACATTGATCTGTAGGTTTCATTCTGGGCTTATTCTTAAAAAGGTTTGGAGCTACTATCATTCAAAAGTTGAAGTATAAGAAAAAAGTATTTAAATAGGAAATTCCATATATGTAAAAACTATAGATTTACGTGCACTGTATATTCACATACAAATGCTTGAAGAAGCTTATTTTACACACAGATCATATGCAATTGTGTTTTAATGAACTATGATATGTTTACTTTTTTATGTTTTCAGAGGGTATGAGCGGGCATTTCAGAAGCTTAGCATGGCTAGATTCATTTGCACAAAGAAAACAGGAAGCTTATCTAATCAAACATTACAAGTAGCCTTTTATCAGGTTCGAAATGTTCTCATCTAGGAGGAAAATTTACAGAGGTGGCAGAAATTTAGGCCTTACAGAATTCCGAAGGGAAGCATGTGTGAAGTTGAAGTGAGATGTGTTTGCAGGTATGAGATTAATTATAAAGCAGGAAATAATTTTTCAATTTACATTCAACTTCAAAGCCAGACTTAAACCTGTTATGTTTGTAAATAAATGCATGGCATAGTAATTGATTGATTATCAAATATATCAACTCAATGTAAACATCAATAATCCATTTAGCAGTTGCTATTAAAACGAAACCCTTAGGTTGAAATACTGTATACTGGTACATTTCAGAGTCTTCATTGTAAACCCAGATTTCAAGCAGATGAATTTATCCCCTGTCATTATAACCGATTTCAAATGGTGCTAGAAAACATTGTGGACTCTGAACACCAGAGGAAATCAGTCATCCTTCAAAAGGGGTGAAACTGGGGAAAAAAGAAGAAGGAGGAAGTGCCTACACGAAGAAGTGCCTTTTAAACAGATTACTTTAGATAAAGAATACTGAAGAAGAAGAGTATTGTCCTCACCTTAGTTGATACATAAAATTAAGCAAATACTACATTTAAATTCTCACCACTATCTGTCCAAGTGGTTTATATTCTGCTCTATGACAAACATTTTAACACATTGCAGCCTTGGGTGTTATTTGAAACAAAACCCTCTGACTTTTGTGAAGAATGCGCCAGATTCAGGGGCTTTTCAACCGTTCTGGTGGTAAAAACACAGCAGTAACTTTCAAAGGCATACCTTGGCAAAGGGAGCCATTTATTGTATCAGTTCTAGCACTGCCTTGGAGGAACAGTGTGTTCTGGTTAATGATCTGCTCAGGGTCATCACATAGCTATAAACAATCCCTCCTAGTGTGAAGCCCTTGTGGGTGTCAGCTGATAAATATTTCCTTCTTTTCAAGAATAAAACAACTGAAAAATAGTGGATACTTTTTAATGACATGACGATACAAAACTCCAAAGAATATAACATATAAAGATCTATCCATTTGGGTAATTCCAGCAACATTCCACACACTGTACAGCATTTGCCAAATCCAGATTATTTTTGCTAAAATTAAAATCATAGGATTTAGAAAGGCAAGACTGTTCAGCACAAATATTTGGGATTTAACAAAGTGCATCTGCAATGACAAATGGAGCACGCTAAGACGATTGAAAAACATATGTGCACACTTTAATCACACAGCTGCTATTCTTTCTCCAAGAACACTGATTTCAAATGGTGCTAGACACTGGGAACATAAATCTAAACCACCATATGAAACCAGCTTCCTGGGGAAGATCACCAAATGACGAAGAGGAGCATGAGAAGAATGCTGGCATTTAAGATGTCTGTCAGATCATTACAGCTTTCTGGATCTAAAGGGACAAGAACAGATTTTATTAATGTTTATAAAAACAGAAGAAAAATAAAACAGATAAAATAATGATTATGAAATTGTATTAAATTGTCTTAAAATGAAAGACACTTTTTTATATTTCAACAAAGGCTAAGTCTTATATGACGGTGCATTTTCAAATGAACTAAGCCTGTGCCTGATACAGAACAACATTCCTTTAAGGTAACAATAGTCTATTTTAATAAGCCCCTTTCTGCTTATAATGTTATGTAATATTACTATAGGGATGCACTGATCTATACAGCCATTTTCAGTAACCACACTGTTGTAAGAAACAGGTACATTTAACTCTGGTGCTCTGAGGACCCGCTTCACAAAAATGCCACAAACATGTCGTACAAATTAATAATATCTGAAGTGCAGTCTCCATCTGTCTGGGAGTGCACAAAACAACTGATCCTAAAGTACTAATAATCACATTCAATAGCCTTATTTGGTCATGAAATGGTGGGTTGCCACACAGAGCTGTGTATAGGGAGTGATTAAGTTAAAAAGATCAGTGTATCTTTTAAAAACAGTATAACTAAAAAAAAAAATGCATATACTATGAGCCAAACAGCTATTAGAGATAAAGTATTATTTAACTCTTTATGATGGTTTTACCTAATCTAACCAGTGGAATACAATGACATTTTAATTGTATTCCACTGAAAGTCTATAATGGATGGCCATGGTTTAATATATGATTTTTACATATAAGATTCTAGTTTTTGTTTTGTTGTGATTGTAGTTAACCTTATCCCTGTGAAGACCATAGCTCGCTACCTTCAGCAGGAAGAGCCCCAGTCTTGTGATTAAAAATAGAATATTAAATTTTTCTTTCCTGTGTTTGAGAGCAGTTGTGGGGGACCTTGAACAAGACCTTGTAGAGATACAGGGGCTGCTGGCTTTCCTTCCAGAGTGTCAAATTACTTTATGGAACCGATACTTTGCGTGAGTGAACAAACAAAGCACTGGTTCCAGGTCTGAAACCTGATTAAACTGTTGATTAAATTCATACTTACACAGCCAGCAGCACTCCGGGACCAGAACTGGCCTCCACTGAGTGAGAGGAACTTTCCTGCTTCTTTAGGTCAAACTGCAGAAAGGAAAGGGTTAAAATCTTGACCACAGTGTGGCACTCAGAGCTCTTCCTAAGCAGGTAGGCTGAAATGTAGGGACAGTTCCAGGTTCTTCTCTTCCCATCCCCGTTTGTACTTATGAGCTAAGTGTGCCACTGGCTGCAGATATCTCCTCTTATTTTTAACTTTTTTTTATATCCTGACATGATTTGACAGGTTATTAGAGCTATTTCTAGTGCTGATTGATATTTCCTCACTGCTGCACTACACAAGGGCAGTTTGTCTGTGTAAAACAGCATGCTGTAATTGGAAACAAAAACTTTTTTTGAAAAACAAAACCGTTCCGGTTTGTTAACGTCTAGATGTTACTTATGAATTTGGAGAAAAAAAGTGCTCTTCAAGAACACCGTAATGGAAATAAACGCCCGAGAAAACATTTTCATTTGACATCCATATGGTAGAGAATTTATTTTCACATGATGTTACTGAGCATTATGGCTTTTTTATTCAATGCGAAAGTATCACAACTCTAATGCACATTGAAACATAAAAAAAACAAAATCATCCTGTCACTTCACAAGGCCACAAAATGTGGATCCTTGGTTTATACATATATCTTTCAATTCCTAGGAGCACAAAGCTGTGTGGGAAATATCCAAGTCTGTAACACTCACTGAATACATGCAGATTTTATTCAAAAAGTACTTACCAGATTTCCAATACTGGGCTTTTTAAGATTAATTACTGCCTTTATTTTCAGGAACCTAAAAAAGAGAAAAAAGTGACAGTGTACTTAAGCTGTACATGAACGTACAGTGTGTCCTCTGGCAACTACAATCCATGTAAACACTACCTACAAGATAGATCTCTATGGACACAAAGTACACTATATTTGCCACATGACTGACATTCCTTATTTTGCGAGTTAGCTAACAGAGCTGTTAAGCAAGGTGTGTTCTTATTACAATGGGAGGAAACAATTAAACAATTGCACTGTAAACACTGTCCACATTTTTTTTTACCTTTGACACTTTAAAATAACAGGTTAATGTAGTAATAAATGCAATCAAGAAATAGAGTGTATAAAACCACACATTTTAAAAAGGCAATCACAGGTGGTAGTAACCCGTTTTTAATACTACTGATCCAAACACATTTTTGATTTTTCAAACAAACAAAAAAGTAACCTTAGCAAAGAAACCGTTTCGCAGATGTGTTGAATTCATTGTTATTTTTTACATTCCAGATTCGAAAAGCAGAATTTCTAAACCCTCTCAATTTACGCGAGGTACTGCAATGCGTGCTGCTCTGCATCTCACCGAGATCTAATCACAGTCCTTGCTAATGCCACACTGTGCTACTTCACAGCTCTCAGAAAATCCAATTCTGCTCAGGTTCCTAAAAGGAGTTTATCCATTACATCCCTAAAACCTGTAGTTAATACATGTCAAACACAGGGAGTATTGTATAGGGTCCTGGAAATCCTAAGATGAGAAACTATTCCAATAGCTTGGATAAAAGGCAGTGTTTCCACACTGAAGGCCTAGTTCAGCGGTTCATCCCACCATTCATTTAGAGGTAAAGTCATAAACTGAAAAAAAATCTGGACTTTCCAGGCTGAAGACCAAACTAGTCTTCAAAAAGGAAATGTGAATGACAGTTCAGGCAACAAGTTCATACTTTGATTTGGATGTCTTGTTCATCGCTTACAAAAAGAGAAACTGCTTAAATAATAATCATATTTTTATTACTATCAAGTTACTTATCAAATGGATAAGTGCAATTGGAAAGCTATTTGTATGTTTCTGCATTCCATTAATTGGTTATGTGGAGCAAACGATTGCCTGGCAAACATAATTCTTGAAATGTCAAAAAGTGCCACATCCTAGTGATACAGTATGTTTCCAGGTGAAGAATGGAACAGATCAAATGAAAATTCAAAATACAGAGATATTCTGTCTTCACTTCTTACAGGACTTGGTGTCACGGACGTCCAAAGGGACTAACCGTGGGGAGCAGGAGAGCAGAAAAAGACCATATGTGTAGCGGCGAGACGGGAAAAAGGCCCGGGCTCATTAGTGCAAAGAGTTCAGGAATGCCGTATAGAAACCTATGCCCTCAGGGAGCGGACGTGGGGCGCCCTGGTGCTAGGCGGGTCTCAGGACATCCGAACATCAATGCTGAGCGAGGACAGAGTGCAAGACCCGGAAATATATAGCCCAAGGGAAAGAGAGGGACAGGAAGGACAGCAGACCAGAAACTAGGGACAGGACAGAGAAGGAGCGCCCTCTGGCTGCAGAGGGCGTGACACTTGGCCCACAATCAAAAACAACAATCTTAAGACAATGTGGTCCCTTTAATAGCTTTTTCTTTAAAACAAAATGAAAATACACACAAGTAAAACAAAAATCAAGAGCAAACTACCACTTGATAATTTAATATTTTCTTTTAATACTGTAAGAAAAAACACTGAATTACAGTTAATTCCTGACAAACCAGCACCACCTGAGTATACTTTATAATGCAAAATATTAAGAAGACATTAGGAGTGCTTTCAAATCATAAATAATTGCTCTGTATAGCAAAGGAAGAATGCTTTTAGGGCTCTCGGAGAATGCAGACCGATAAAGTGTCTTCATATTTTACATCCTGTACTTTAAGCCTGCATACAACTAAGCTATAAAATATAAAGTACTTGATAAATCATTTTTGACTATCCAATGTGATACACCAGCGTAAGGCATAATTATACTTTACCATAATTCTCTGTGGGTGGTTTTCTGTGTGGTTGAGTGGTGTTCTCGAAAGTTTAATATTATACTTGGCTTTAATGGCTACATTCAATATTGTTGTTTTTGATGGGTCTTATTTTTACAAATAGATAAACTACAAGAAGCAACACATAGTGAGAGAAAATAATTTTAGAAGAGCAGGTGTAAAAGCTTTGATAATTTTATCCTTTTTTGAAAAGAATGGAAACAGCAGATCATATTTCACTTCCTACATCTCTCTCAGAAGGGCCCTGTTCTTCAGGCATATAGTTTGACTGAATGTACTAAACAAAAAAAAAAAATGTCCTATTCTTATCTTGTAAAGAACAGACAATTGTCATACCAATAATAGTATTTCTCAAAATTCTCTGTAAACAAATAAATGAAAGTAGTGACTTGAATTATTAACCTATAGTTCTTTTTGCATTGTTTTAGACCATAGCTGTGAATCTAAAACTGAACAACAGAGGGCGTTAGTGGTTTTCGTAACAGCTGCTTTGGTCAGAACAAGATTCAGAGGCTTACATGACTTAAAATAACACACCTTAACCTGGGGGAGTAAATACTACGCCCGCAAAAAAAAAACTTAAAAAAAATTATATATTTGTACAAGCCATCATGTTTTAATACATATAGTGCAGAGCACAACCCCAAGTCAGTAAGACTTTCTTTTTCTCCTCCTAAAAATGACTGGGCAGGTTGGAGGTCACATACATAGCAAGATTCATGTCTGTTTGTTGCCCATCTGTGTTAAGCAAGCGATCGAATACAGACCACCATGTTTTATGAAAAATGTGTCCTGTTTTTTGTTAGTTACTGGTCTAAGAACAAAAAAAGACTTGTTAATTATTTTTAATAAAGAAGCACATCTGAACTTACCACATGCTGTAGATCCATTGTTCACACTAATCTTCACAGAACAACTACTAAATACTTTCTGTAACTAGGCAATCTTCTGATGAACTTGACCATCCGCTAAAAAAAATCCAGAATTGGTCTCCCTGATCCAGCACTCAAGAAAACAAAAACTGAAAGGTAGCTCTACTATCATAAAGTGAATGGTCTCTCCAGAAAATACTGAAAACAACAATGAAATATGAAAAAGTTTCAAAAGATCATCCAAAAAGTGCCTGCCCCCTTGATTCTGAGAAGAGTATTCTCAATTTAAGAGTTCAACACCAATGTATTTGCTAGTTGCATGAGAGGAAAATCCCTTTTAATGATGGTGTTTGTTAACATGACTGATCTCTAGATGAACAGGAACAAACCATTAGTTGTCTGAAACAGAGATCACTTACACCCCCTGTCTCCTTGTTCTTAGTTTGGCAACTACATGGGACTTTTTCTTCCTCAAAATGAAACCATAAATTTCTTCATTCTTAATTAAATCACATTTATAGTCAATTAAGTAGGACTGTAACTATAACGGTTTCTTTTTTAACAATAGCAGCACAGTATAGTTTAAGATTTTTTTTTTGGGGGGGGGGTCTGTTGTGGGCTCCCTGTTTTGTGTTACAGGAATTTCTTTAAATCAGCAAAACACACATTGCAAAACTAACCAAAGAATTTTGTGTCAAGATAAACTTCAGTAACCTGATAACTTGCTAACCAATTTGTCAGATTTCATTGCTTATGAAAAAACAGACCTGTTTGAATCGCACCACCCTGTTTCTTAACATTTGCCTTACAGCTCTGTACAGTTAGTGCACACCAGGAATGAGACGTAGATCAAAATCTTTGTTTAAGATCACATAATGGAAAAGCTACATTCTCACTTTACTCTAATAGTACTAACTGGACAATACTTTGCATCCATCCATTTTCTAATCACTTCTTCCAATGCAGGGCCCTGGGGAGGCCAGACCCAATCCTGGCAATGATTAGGCACAAGGCAGTACGCCCTGGAGTGGATACGGACACAAACAGACACAAACGCACCCACACCAGGGCCAATTTTCCCAGAAGCCAACGAACCTCACAGTACGTTGTTGGACTGTTGGAGAAAACCCAAGTAAACACAGGGAAAATATGGAAAATTCCGCGTAGATAGCACCCTAGCAACTCAACCCGGAGACACAGGCAGCAACGCTATCCACTGCACCACCCAAACCGGAAAACACCTTTCAGGTTAATTCGTTTTAAGTAATCTTTGAGACATTCCATTACATGGAGATCTAAAGTAGGATGTGCAACAGACTTTGCCATTATCACGGATTCTTATCGCACAGGACCTTCAAACAAGGCACCTCAAGCATTTGATGATCTAAAGCCTCATACACTTTTTAGATCTTCAGTGCTGTTAAATACTCATCTCTGACAGCATCAAAATTAGTTGTAAGCCCAAACAGGGGCAGGTAAATGGGGCTTCGCATTAAATGCAAACCATCAATTACAGTCTAGTTTTAAATTTGTAAGGTGCAGCAATGCAAATAATGACCGCCCATCCATCGTCACCAAGCCACTTGTTCTTTGTAAGGCTCATGACAAACTGGACCCTATACCAGAAGAACAGGCCAGAAGGTGGCAATACTTTTATGGGCAACCAGAGTATTCCAGGCCACGCACAGGAGGGAACAATTTACAGACACCAATTAACCTAGCCAGCATATCTTGGGAAGCTGCAAGAAACCAGAAAAGAGTAAGAAAATAAGATGGGGAGAACATGCAATTTCCACCCAGTCTGGTATCAAACCCAGAACCACGAAAACATTGATGCACAAAGTGAACTGCCATGTCATCATGGCATTGGTGGTTATGACCACTGAAATGTAAATGGATTCCAAACACTATCTTTTCAGAATAAGAATACTAAGCATTATTAACACAGTTCAACCTTTGAAGCTTTCTATAAATCTGGAACACTAATTGTTGTTTTAACCCCTCGTATCTCTGGGAGTTCTTCAAGCATGAAAGAGTAATGGTTGCACTGATTGTTTTTTACAGGTTAACACTATCAATAATTGTTTTCGTTCAGAGAATGTGAATGGCTATTG